TTTTTTTTTTTTTTTTTTTTTTTTTTTTTTTTTTTGGTGCCAGGGATCAACCTTGCACTTGTGCAACAGGTGGTGGAACCATTGAGCTAAATCCCTGGCCCAGTTCCTACCTCTTAATACTTTGAGATTTAGGTTTCAATGCAAGAATTTTTGGAAATGCAAACACTTAAACCACAGCACAGGGAAATCAATTAGGAGTCTGATAGAGTAAACCAGGAGGAAGATGCTGGTTTGGCACAGGGTGGCAACAGCAGGAAAGCTTTGAAATTCAGATTCAAAGTGCCAATAGTAGGACATGTGCTTGGAATGGAATTGCTTATGATGAAGGAGAAAACTAAGTCTTTGTTTTGGAGGATGATTATTTAGATGGGAAAGAATTGTACAAGACTGAATTCCAGACCATGGGAGAAAGTAGTTCTATTTTTGGTTGTGTTGGTTTTAAGATACCTGTTAGAAATCTAAATAGAGATTAAGTAGGTAGTGACATGATTCTAGAACTCAGTGGAGAGGAAGACTACAGATAGAATAGCTTACCTGGAAGGAAGTACAAGTATAGATAAAGAATGGAGTGAACTCTCAAACCAGTCAGCATTTAGAGATGACAGAGAGAAGGCATGAGCAAAAGGCTAAAAGAAAGAGACTTGCAAGATGGCAAGGAAACAGAGCAAAGTTACTGTTGCTATATTGCCTCAAAAGCTTCATGAAAAAAAGTGTTTGAAAGAAGAGAAAAATCAATCTTATGAAAACCCACTACAAGTCGGAAAATGAACTATTTGGCAAGGTATAGGCCATTAATATATGGGAGGAGTGGAGTAAGGAGGAGTAAATGAAAGGAATAGGAGGTAAATAATCTAGGTCTGGGAAGGAGAAGACAATGGTGTGGACCCAGGGTCACCAATGGAGACCTTGCTATATAAATATAAATCTCTTCTTTGAATTATTTAGAGTAACACATTTAGGGACAAAATTCATGAATTAAAAACCTAAAACAAGAATTGTGTAGCTATATATTCCAGACCAAATCTTGTGAAGTGAGATTTGTTGGGCTAGTGGAACATGCTAGTCTTTGTCCTGGACAGCCTAAAATACCTATGTGCCTTCTGACTTGTAGAGGTACTTGAGTTAAGTTACTTGGGCTACTCTGGAAGGTCCTTCACTGACAATGTGTTGTAAAAGAGGATGATCTACTCAACTCAAGGAGCACTGTGACTTGAGCAAGTGAGTAGCAGTGCAATAGGAAATAAGGCATAAGTCAGTAATGATGGTGGGGGAAATCAGAAATTAAAAGCATATCGATACAGGTAAAAAGGCTATGGGAAGACTTAAAGAGGTTCCATTGAGTGAAGCCTGGAAGGAAACAGAGAGCTGGACTTACAATAATAACCATCTTTTCAAGGGAAATTGACAAGAGGAGACTTTCATTAGAGTACAGGCCTAGAGTTGAAAATAATGCTTCAATTTGAGTTGGGACAGCTCAGTTTGGTGGAACTTCTTAAAGCCTAAATATAAGTTTAAAAGACATATGCTACATATACTAAGAATGAGATCCCAAGAAGTTTGGGGACTTAGAAGCTGATGTAATGGTCAGAATGATAAAAACATAAAAGGAAGTTCCAGTGAATTATTAAGCTTGCAGATTAATAGAAGATGATGGTAAAATTAACAAAGTACTATAAGGAAAAGGGGCATCAGGGACTTTTTGAAAATAGCAGAATGTTTATTTTCTTTTTTTCTTCCTGATATCCTAGATAATTAGGATATAAAGTGTCTTCCACTCATCTTTCCCAGAAAGAAGGATACCCTACAAACACTTTTCTTTTTTTACTTTCTTTCTTTTTTTTAAAACTGACTTTGACTTTTCTTTCCAGTCTTTGTATTTTGCCTACATTACTTATGATTGTATAGGTTTAGAACAATGAAAAAATCTTTAATCTCTGTGGCATAGAATAACCAAAAAATATTATGCTTAAAATTTTAATTGCACTCTAATGCCATTTATATTTCCAGAGTCTGAAGGAGACCTAAAGGCTATTAAATCAACCTGAATCAACCTTTCAAGGCAGAGCTTGATTTTTAGCTGCTTGAAAACTTAAAATTATGTTTAGATGACTAGGGCATGACCCAATAACCTTGAGTTAAGTCGCTGCAATAGTAGAAGTATAATCCCTTGCATCAATTCATATGGGAACAAACTCTCTAGAAATACATCAGAAACAGATTTACCAAATTGTCCAATCTTTTTCTTGCTGGGATTCATTGTATCTGTAGCTTTTTGGTTTCTATTTTGCTCACACACGAAACCACTCCAAGAGAAATGACCAAATGTGCTGGGGATTTAGCTCAGTGGAGCTGCGCCTGCCTGCCAAGTTCAAGGTCCTAAGTTTGATCCCCAGTGCCCCCCCTCCAAAACAAGAAATGACCAAATAGTCCATTTAAAGAAGCAGGTAATTTTTGACTGCATCTAAGGAAAAAAATCATTAATGTTACCATAATATTTAGGGGATCTTCAGACCATATTGAAAGGAAGAGAAAGATGACTATGATGCCTGAGCTGTACCCATCCTGGATCTTCATCAATGACAGGACATTCATAACCAGGTAACTACACACTTAGGCTACACTACTCAAATATACTATTCAACATTTTCTAAGCATGATATATCATCAAGATCAATAATACCAATCACCAGTTGAGACATTAAAGAAGTTTATGAGTCCTAAAGACTGCTAACCCATATTCATTGAACACTCATATTTCATTAATAGTGGTTTGATTTCCTTAAAAGTTGCATTTCTCTTTTAATTTTGACAACAATTCTAAAGGGCAGGATTAAATGAATGATCTATGGCTTCTCGGATACAATACAGCCAAAGAATTAGTCCAGGGGCCAATAAGAGTGTATTCTTTTCTGACTGCTCCTTCCTTTGCTCTTCAGGTAATACTATATTTCTAATATTTCCCTATTGATAATAAGTTATGCAGTATATGGCCAAAATTCACCACTGTTTTCTTTTTGTGTGTGTATGGTACCAGGGATTGAACTTGGGCCCCTGCACTTGTGAAGCAGACAGGGTAGCCATTGCACTAAATACCTGGCACAGATGATCACTTTTTATTTGAACATTTATGGACAGTATTCAGAAAATGTAACTAGCAATTCAATATTTGATTACATAAATATTATTGCTCAAGACAAATAAAAACCTACTTAAATGAAGTCAGAAGATGAACATTAGATAAAATCTTGAATTGACCTAAATTTAAAAAGCAATACATGAATTAGTTGAACATCACTGCCATAGCTCTCAGCCAGAACATATTTACCATTCATAGAAGTTAGCCTTACAACCTAATATTAAACTAATTTTATATTGTTAGGTAGAAAGACCTGAAAATCAGAACCAGACCAGAGCCATAAACAAGCCTTTATTATGGGGAGGATCTGCCAGGCTGCCTCTGAACAAAGGAGAGAAAAGGAACGTGGTAGAATAGGGAGCTTCTTTTATAGGAGCGGGTGGGTTAGCATGAGCTGGGATGGAGTTGAGTGAGGTAATATTAAGGCATTTCAGGAGCCTGTGACATCACTAGGAGGGGGTTGTGGCATCACTAGTTGCTAGGAGGTAGTAAGTGTCAGGTTACCTTTCTTAGTGGAAAGAGGGGCATGTTGGGAAAAAGAAGACTCTCCATTGGTGGGAGAAACCATATTTTAACATGGCATTATGAGGAGGCTTCTATTCCATGTGGCAGCCATCTTAAGGCACTGAGCATTATGGGAAGGAGGAGGCTGCTATTTTATGTAACAGCCATTTTAAGCCAAGAGAAATCTAACATATATCACTGAAAATACTTTTATAAGTAGTTTCTAGTAGTCAGACAAGAAAATTCACAAATTTTGAGAACCTATACACATCTCCATTTTATTATTTATCTGTAGAAAAATATGTCACAATGAAATAATATTTTTGGAGATCATTTCTAAAGGCTCTGAGCTTCCAGTGAACCCTATTTTGTGTCATATTTTGAACTGGCAGAATGAAGGACTTGTAGTTTTTCCTCTGTAATTCATGTGGTGAAGTAAAATACTGTAGCAGCAAAACTCTGTGATCAGACTTGAAGACAGCAATTCCACCTGCTTCAGAATCAGATGTTTGTTTATGATATGCATCCTGAGTTCCTTCCCAGAACCATTCCGGTAATTCTGATGCTTACTAAAATCTAAGAGCGGTGCAGAGAGGAAGGGATTGAAGTTCTGAGAACTTATGATGTCCTGGCATAAACAATAAACAAACTTCCTAGAGTCAGGAGAACTCTCTGCAAACTGTCATCAAAAGTTTTAATGATGTCATTGGCCAGCTGTGACATTCAAGTCTCCTGGACACTACATGCTCCCTGTGTACACTAGGCACTGTGGTAAACAATATGGAAATCATTAACTTATTAAGGTAGTTTTTTTTTTCAGCACAGAAATACATGGAAATAAAAGAAATTAGTAGTAATATAGAATCTGCAGAACTGAAATTTTGATCCCTGGAACTTTCCTGAGAATTACATATGATCAGTAAAATAGGATCTTAATACTGCCACAGGAAATTTATGATGTGTATCTCACTACTGAGTGAAAATTCTGAGTTTGGAAACTTCCTGGCTGGAGAGTGTTGTCACAGGCTAGCTTCCTGCTCAGATGGCAAGGTTCCAATTGCTGTTTCTTTGCCTGGAGTCATTACTTTTTTCCCCACCTCACAAGGTAAATATTCTAAACTAAAAAAATGGTTCCATGTGGTTGATTTCAAGGTACTTTTATATCAAGATGTGGACTGAAATCCAGGAGCTTCAGAGGTGAGAAAATACCAGCCTTAAATTGAAACAAAACAAAACAAGAAAGGAGCTTGAATCCAGTTTCTGAGGCAGATCAGATTTCTCTAGAACCTGCTAGACTAGGAACTTGATGCTATGCCTGTTCTAACAGCAGTTCAAAAGGCATTTGTGTATTTCTGTCCTTAGAAAAAAGCTTCATTAGCATGATGTAATAAATTTTAGCAAAAAAGTGCTTTATTCCAAACAGTTTGTTTTTTGAAGCATCTTAGCCAGAACTATCTATTGAAACAAAGGAGCCTTCCACCTGCATCTCTAAGCACACATTAAACACAAAAAGGTGTATTCAGGAGGCTGCTCTCATCTGTTATCAGGTGGTTTCTTTAGAAATGGCTCAACACTTAAAAGTATTCCATTTTTCATGCCTCAAAGAACTGGATGAGACAAGCCAATAATGGTGTCAAAAGTTTATTTGAAAAAATTTAGGTAAATGGGTATGTAAGAAATCAGCTCTACAGAGCAAATTTAGGCTGAACAAAGAGAGAAAGAGGGTAAAAGCCAAAATGAAAGTACACACCACATCTGAGAATCATGGTGTGGGCTACTGTGCAAACTCATACACAATAGCAGCTGTCCAGGATTTGTCAGCCACATCTCCTGGGAGCTCACAAGAAGTTCTACACACTGAGTGCTGGTATTGCCCAGGATCTTGTGATTGACAAGGCCTGCTCATTTCCCCAGACACCTTTGTCACACCCTATCTCCTATAACAAACCTGTCTCATGGAGCCAAAGGGCACTTTCTGACCAGTTTCTGTGTCCTGGGTCTTCTGCTGATCAAAGGAAAAAGAGCAAATGCCTTGGGCCTCAGCAAGCTCTGAAGATAAGGTCGTTGAGAGAGGATACTGCTCTCCTGAAGGCCATTGATTTCTATCTTTAAAGACAAAGAAGCCCTCTCTGACATAAAATATAGGCTACTTCCAAATTTTAGCTATTGTGAGCTATGTTGCTATAAACATGGGCATGATATCTTTAACTCTTTTGGGAAGCTGCTTAGAAGGGGAACTGCTGGGTCAAATGAAATTCCAAGTTTTATTTGTTGGAAGAATTTCCATACTGATTTCCATCATGTATGTACTGGCTTACATTCCCACCAACAACGTGGAAGGGTTCCTTTTACCACTGGTAGAGTTATCAGTATTTGTTATTAGGTTTCTTGATGAAAGCCATTCTTTCTGGAATAAGATGATATTTGAATTATGGTCTACCTTGATATCATAATATTAAGTGAGATAAAAGATACACAAGCTTAGATATTATATGATTTATATGAGAAACTCCAAATACAGTACAAATAAAAAGCAAATTAAACATGTACTAGCTCCTTACAAAAAATGTAAACATTATGTACTGCAAGCATGTACTAATAAAATAAATAAATTTACTTAACTACATGAATTCATCAGAAGTTTAAAATAAGTCAGAGGTAAAGAGTATGAAATATGTTTCAAGCAATCTTTTTTAAAAATCAGAAATTTTTTTTGTTAGGGATCATTTTTTAAAATTACCATTGTATCTGGTAATATGATAAAAATAAAATAAATGATTATAAGAAACTAGATAACATATTTGCTATTATGTCGCAAAAAGGCTGATAAGGTTACCTACAGATATGTGATAGAGGACCTTTTTTATACTGTTCTTATACAGCACGTCACATTTTTCAATAAGCATTTATTGTTAGGAAGCATTAAGTATATCAATGATTCAGTAATTCGTTATTTCCAGTAAAATTTGTCTACTGAACAATTATCTATTTTATTGCTTTATTACCTGAATGATGGGTCCTGGGGAATTATTTCAAAGTTCTTGCTGTCCAAAACAAAGAATAGAACAACAACAATAATAACAACAACAACAACAAAAAAAAAAAAACCACAAAGAAAAGGATGTACATTTATTGAAGGTGGAAAACAAGTACACTCTGTAGAGTCAGCACAGGCCTGTGAGCAGACTTGCAGTGCTTCAAAGATAAGGGAAACTCTTGTATATCAGAATTCCTGGAACCTAGCCACTAAATTTAGACTGTCCTATGGAAGACTCACCTGATTTCATTACAGATGTAGAGGAAGAATTGAAAATAGCACTTTTCTGATTGGAGCTACATACAGTGCTTAGGCACTGCTGTGTTATCCTGGTTCCTGTCTTCTGTGCATGTGCCCTGGGTATCCAAGACTGACAGATTTCACCCAGTTTTTTTTTACTGGTTTTTTCCCATCGCTAATCACCTACCTCAGCCCCTTTTTTTTTGTTTTGTTTTGTTTTGTTTTGAGACAGGGTCTCACTGTGTAGTTGAGACTGACCTGGAACTCACTATAGCCTAAGCTTATCACCTACCTCAGCCCCTTTTTTTTTGTTTTGTTGTGTTTTGTTTTGAGACAGGGTCTCACTGTGTAGTTGAGACTGACCTGGAACTCACTATGTAGCCTAAGCTGGTCTTGAATTCACAGTGATCCTCCTGCTTCAGTCTCCCAAGTGCTAGGATTACAGGCATGCGCCACCACACCCGGCTCTCAGCTTCATTTTTAAAACAATAGATTTTTCCAAGATGTACTGAAACTCCACAGAAAGTCTGATGATATCCAAATTTAAAGACTAGAAATGTATCATATGAAGGAAATTTATTTGAATTTCTAGATGTGTTCATTGCACTGATAAAAGATTTTTTCCTCCTAAGAGTAGTATTTTTTTAAAATACATGTTTGCAATACATAATGATCATCCTC